GCCCACAGGTGCCACTGCCGCCATTTCCAAAAAGCCGCCGAGACGAGCCGGTCTACCTGTCAAACCTCAAGGAGCCGATCTACCTGCCAAAGGCAGAGACGAGCCGGTCTACCTCCTGAAAAGCCGGTCTATCTGCTGAAGGCAGAGACGAGCCGGTCTACCTCCCGAGAGCCGATCTATCTGCTGAAGGCAGAGACGAGCCGGCCTACCCTGAGAGCCAACCTATCTGCTGAAGGCCGAGATGGGCCAGCTACCAGTCAAGCCCAGAGAGCCCGATCTACAAAGCAGACGTCCAACGGGCCTGGTCTACCTGTCAAATCCAGAGAGCCCGATCTACCAAGCAGCTGTCCAACGGGCCCGGTCTACATGTCAAATCCAGAGAGCCCGATCTGCTCAGCAGTCGTCGACAACGATCCCCAGCCAAAAGAGCCTGGTCAACCCGCCGAGAGTTCCCTGCAGGGCCCGAGCTACCTCGCCGACGCCGAGAGCTCTCTGCACGCTCCGGTCTACTCACCCAACGCCTAGAGCAGGTCTACCAACGAAACGCACGAACTCCCAAACAAACGGCCCGGTCTGCCTTGTCAAACCCCGAGAGCCTGGTCTACCAAGCCAAGAGGTCCCTGTAGGGCCCGATCTATCTTGCCTAGAACTCCACGCAGGGCCCGGTCTACCGAGCCAACGCCGCACGTTCCCTGAAAGGCCCCGATCAACTCAAGAGACACTGAACACTCCTCAGCCGGACCCGGTCTACCGGCAAAGGTCTACCTCAACTGGGAATCCCCTGGGACTGGGGGTCTAATTGCAGGTCTACCTTGTCCCTGGCCAGGGGGAAGGGGTGTGTCCCTGCCTAACCACAGTCCCCAGCCTGGGCTGCCGTATCCCTGGCCAGGGGGAAGGGGTGTGTCCCTGACAACTACAGTTCCCAGTCTGGTCTGCCATGTCCCTAGCTAAGGGGGAAGGGGTGTTGTGTCCATGACAACTACAGTTCCCAGTCTGGTCTGCCATGTCCCTAGCTAAGGGGGAAGGGGTGTTGTGTCCCTGACAACTACAGTTCCCAGTCTGGTCTGCCATGTCCCTAGGTAAGGGGGAAGGGGTGTTGTGTCCCTGACAGTTTCCGTTATGTCTTTGGAACTGGTTGGAGTCCCCAACCAGGTCCGCTGTTTGAGCGGGAACACCAGCCACTCCCATTGGTTGGCTCCGTTTGACAGTCAGCTATAAAAGCCAGCTGTCGAGCAGAGCCAGCCAGCTCAGCTCGCTCGCTCGCTCAGATCTCTCGCCCTCTGGGCTGCCTGCCCAGCCAGGGCAGCAGCTCGCCCTCTGGGCTGCCTGCCCAGCCAGGGCAGCTCTTGCCCTCCGGGCTGCCTGCCCAGCCAGGGCAACCGCAGCAACCTGTTATGCTTCAATAAAGTGATGTTAGCCTTCAGCTCCGTGTCTGCCTCCTGTGTCATCCGACTACACAACAATGTGGGTGCTTGTTCTACCAGAGCTTCCTTAGTTGCTACTAGTAATGGTGAGCTGCAGTGGGGCAATGGTTAGAATGCAGTACTGCAGGCTACGTCTGCTGCCTGCTGGCTGCCTGCAATTTGGCAGTTTGAATCTCACCAGGCTCTAGGTTGACTTAGCCATTCATCCTTCCAACGTGGGTCAAATGGGGACCCAGATTGTTGGGGGCAATATGCTGACTCTGTCAACTGCTTAGAGAGGACTGTAAAGCACTGTGAAGTGGTATATAAGCTTAATCGCTATTAGTATTGCAAGTCCTGAGCAGAGGTGCCTAGCGTGCTCTAATCTTGAAGCAGACTTTCAATATTATTCCTCCTCCTCCTCCTGCTCTTCCTCCTCGACAGATGGTCCAGTTTCAGAAGTATTCCTACATGAAAGCAATATCAGAAAGAAGCTCAGCATGTTAGGAGTAAAAGTATGGAACTCGAGTGGGAATCCTTCTGGGAATCAAAGGGAGGAGAGAGCTGATGGTAGCTCTCCTACAAAGAGCTTGCTTTCTCCCCTCCTCTTGATTTAAAGTGTGTTCATAGCAACACAGAAATGTTTTTATCTTGTAAAGGAACACAGTGTGGATTGAAGAGAAGAAAAATGATCATCTTGATAGAAAAATACGACAGAGCAATTTTTAAATGTTCAGAATTCTCACTACTGGCTCCAAGGATTTCTCCATTCCCACCTCTCTAGTAGCCTCTCTGTAATGTCTTATAGCGAAAAGAGCATTTAACATTAAAATTTAATACTTAGAGCATACCATATCTTACAATAAATAGTGTGGGATTCCGTTAAGCAAAATGTTAAGGGATGAAAAAGTTGTAGCATTTTTCCTGTCCCTTTTAACCACAAGGCCTTAAATGGAGGCTGACATCTGGAAACAGAAAAAAGGAATTTGACAGTGTTAGAAAAGTTAGAAAATGGAGTTGTGGGCTTTGCATTTCCACTGTGGGAAAATGTGTTGTTGCTGATGTTTGATTCCTAGGATCTTTGTGGATGTTGTCTGTTATAGAGCGGCGGAGGAACGAGGCTGAACCAGAGTGCAATGTAACAGGCTTTATTACAATGAATAAAGGGTTGCCGCGTCTGCCTTCTCACTAGGCAGGCTAGCTGGCGGCAACGGGGCTGGCACTGCTCGGCAGCCGTCTTTTATAGCCGGCTGTCAAACGGTGCCAGCCAATGGGAGCGGCTGGTGCTCCCGCTCAAACAGCGGACCTGGTTGGGGACTCCAACCAGTTCCAAAGACATAACACTCCTTTCCCCCAGCTGGGAGCATGCGTAGTCCTTCAGGTAAGTTGGTTGTCTGCGCTGGCGGCCGGAACGTCGCAACCCGGGCAAGCTGCTGGCTGGCGTCAAGTCCTTGCCCCCAGGCATCGTCTCAGAGGTTGTCGGGAAGTGGGTTCGGTCAGGTGTGGTGCTCTGTGAATTAGGTAAGTCCACATTTTCGGGTTGACCTTGGTGAGTCGCTTGGTCCGGCTGGCAGGCTGGTTCGCTTGGCTGTTGGCTCGGTGTCCCTTGTTGACAGCTCGGACCCTCCAGCAAAGCCTCCTGGTCGATGGGGTAGCTCGGATCCTGCAGGGAGCTCCCGACTGGGTAGGCTGGTAACGGCAGGGAGTCCTCGGTGCTAGGAGGCAGGGTTGGGTTGGTATTAGTTGTGCTTCTCCATCGCCTTCGGAGCTGGTCCACGTGTCTACGCCACAGGCGTCCATCTTCCAGGAGGATCCTGTAGGATCTAGGACCTGTGACTGACACAACTTGACCTGGTATCCACAGAGGATCCCCTGCATAATTCCTGGCGTACACCAGGTCATGCAAGGCAAAGTCCCTGACCAAACTGTCAGATCCCAAAGGGGTCTCTGGGCAGTAGTGGGGGTGCAACCTGTCCAGGGTGGTCCTCAGGCATCTCCCCATCAAGAGTTCGGCAGGGGATTTATTTGTAGCGGTGCATGGCGTCGTATGTTGGCTCAGGAGGTAACGTGACAGTTTGGAATGCCAGTTTTCCTGGCCAAACCTGGCAAGTGCCTCTTTTGCTGACCTGACTGCCCTCTCAGCCATCCCGTTGCTAGCGGGGTGAAAGGGGGCTGTAAGGATGTGTCTGATGCCCAAGTTGGCAACGTACATGCTAAACTCACATGACGTGAACTGGGGGCCATTGTCAGACACCAGTGTGTCAGGGAGCCCATGGGTAACGAAGAAGCGGGTCAGAGCCTTAACAATTGCTTGAGTGGTTGTCGAGGGTAGTAGGGCCAAGTCTATCCACTTGGAATAAGAGTCTACTACAACCAAGAAGGTCCTGCCATGTACTGGTCCAGCCAGGTCGATGTGCAGGCGAGACCAAGGACCACTAGCGCTCTCCCACTTGGTAGGCGTGGCTGCTGGTGGGGCAGCCCTGGTTTCTTGGCAAGGTTGGCATGAGCTTACCCAGTTGGAGATTTGGGCATCCATGCCGGGCCACCAAACGTAGCTGCGGGCCAGAGCCTTCCTCCTTACGATGCCCGGGTGGCCCTCATGAAGCACCTTCAGGATGGGTACACGAAGAGTGGCTGGAATGACTACCCTTGTCCCCCACAACAGACATCCTTGTAGTTTCGACAATTCCTGCTTACGGGTTTTGAAAGGAGCAAAGTCAGCTGTGTATTGCGTTTCCGGCCACCCCCTTCCCACCCAGTCCATAACTTGGGCAATTATTCTGTCTTTTTTTGAGTGCGCAGCAATGTCCTCAGCTGTAACCGGCAATTTAAGTTCGTTAACTTCAAAAATGGCATGAACAGGTGCTGGGTCTTCGACTGGGACTGGTAGGGGGCAGCGACTAAGGGCATCGGCGTGACCCAAGTTTTTTCCAGGGCGATGCACCAACTTGAATGAATAAGCGGCCAGGAACAAAGTCCACCTGGTCATTCTAGGTGATAGTACCTGTGGGGTTTGCTTATCCCCTGATAACAGCCCCAGGAGTGGTTTGTGGTCAGTTATAAGTTCAAAATGGTGTCCAAACAAAAATTCATGAAACTTTTTTACTGCAGCTACTGCAGCCAAGGCCTCCTTATCAATTTGGCTGTAGTTCCTTTCTGCAGTAGAGAAGGTCCTAGAGAAGAAAGCGATTGGTGCCTCGGAACCGTTGGGAAGCCTGTGGCTCAGAACAGCCCCAATCCCAAAGGGGGATGCATCAGCAGCTAGGACCAGGGGAAGTCTTTGATCAAATTGGATTAAAACTGCATCAGATGTGAGTAAGGATTTGACTGCCTTGAAGGCATGGGCTTCCTTGGGTCCCCAATGCCAGGGGGAATCTTTGTCTAACAGTCTGTGTAAGGGTTCAGCAATAGACGCTTTGTGCGGGAGAAATGAGGCGTAAAAGTTTAGTAGCCCCAGAAAGGCTTGGAGTTCCGTCTTGTTAGTTGGTGTAGGCGCCTCATGGATAGCCTTTACTTTGGATTCGACTGGGTGAATGCCAGAGGCATCTATCCTATATCCCAGAAAGTCCACTTGTCTAGTGGCGATGGTGCACTTCTCCCTTTTAAGTTTGAGGCCATGCTGCCTAAACTTCTCTAGGACTGCTCTGACTCTCTGTATGAGTTGGGGTCTGTCAATTGCTGAGACTAAAATGTCATCGAAGTAAGGGACAACCCCTGGGAGACCTTGGAGGATCCTTTCCATGAGGGATTGGAATATACCCGGGGCTACACTTACGCCGAATTGGAGGCGTTTGCACTTGAATGCCCCTCTATGTGTGACTATGGTTTGTAACTCAGCTGTCTGATCATCCACAGGGAACTGTTGGTATGCCTGGGACATATCTAATTTGGCAAAGATGGTGCCGGGTTTGAAGGTGTGTAACAGGTGTTGAATAACAGGGACAGGGTAGGCGCTGACCTGTAGATAACGATTGAGGGTGGTCTTATAGTCTGCACAGATTCTTAAACTGCCATCTTTCTTGAGTGGGGTGACTATGGGGGTCTCCCACTTGGCAAAGTCAGTTGGTTCTAACACCCCTTGCTTTAGTAACTTATCTAATTCTAAGTCTAACTTTGGACGGATGGCGAAAGGCACCCTGCGTGGCTTAAGGCGAAGAGGGATTGCCTGGGGGTCCACAGAGAAGGAGATGGGGGTGCCAGAATAACAACCCAGCTCGCTGCTAAAAACATCAGAGTAATCTGAGAATAGGGCGTCTACGTCAGAAGTTGAGACAGCATGGATCCCAGTTACACTAAGGCCAAGGGAGGGGAACCAATCTAGCCCCAACAGACTGGGGAGGGCACCATTAACAACCACCAAAGGCAAATGGCCTTTAAAGGCTTGGAATTGAACTAAAAACTTGCCTTTCCCGAGGACAGGGATGTTCTTGCCCTGGTAGTACCGCAGTGTCAGGTGGCATCTCTGCAGCTTCTTCTTCGCAAATCTGGGATGGATCTTCTTTAGGGTTTCCCAGGAGATGATTGAAAGTGCAGACCCCGTGTCTACTTCCATCCTGCAGGGCTTACCTTCTAAAGAAACAGAAATAGTGATTTTATTAGGAGTCTGGGAAGTTTGGTTAGCGTGGTAGCAGGTATAGCAGTCCTCCACTCGCCTTTGGAAATTAGTAGGTGGTGGAGGTCTTTGAGGAAAAGTTCGCCCTGCTTGGCAGATTCTAGCGAGGTGGCCTTTCTTTTGACAATTCAGGCAGATGGCGTTCTTAAACCTGCAGGATGCCCTAGAGTGGGAGCCCCCGCAAGCTAGGCAAATGGGAGGTTGCTTGGGGGCGAAGTTGTTTCTCTGCCCTGCTCCTACCTGTGAAGGCTTTTGTTGCTTAAGGCGGTTAACGTCTGTTGAGTCTATGGGGTCTTCTTCAATGGAAACTTCCTCTGAATGGATGGTGGAACTGCTGGGTTTTACAGGAGTTCCTTGAATTTCAGCTGCTGATTGGGCAGAGAGCTCAGCACCTTGGGCTTCCTCCACGGCTAAGGCTAGGTTTAAGTCCTTTTTGCTAGCAAACGTCTTTGAAGCCTAAGGTCTGTAACCCCACAGACGATCTGGTCTAGTAACATGTCTTCTAGGTAGTCTCTGAAACCACACTGTAAGGCAGCTGTCCTCAGAGCTGCCACATACTTGTTAATTGACTCTCCCTCAGCCTGTTTTCTGGTTCGGAAAGCATATCTCCTGGCTATCTGGGATGGCTTAGGTGAGTAGTGGTTGGAGAGGATCTCTTGGAGTTCATCCCACGGGACGCTCCTGATAGCGCGAGGGGCGACTAGTGCTGTAGCGGTGTCAAAAACCGCAGCCCCACAGTAGCTGAGGAAGTAGGATTTTTTCCTGTGCTCAGCAGCATCCGCTAAACCGATGGCATCGAGGAAGTAGGTGAAACGATTTTTATATGAGTCCCACGTTTCCTCGGCTGGCTTGAATGGTGGGAATGTCAGATTGGCATTCATTTTGGAAACGGCAGGGCTCGTCCCTTCAGTCTTGATTCAAAGTTCACGCTCTTAGAAGAGCGCTTGCGGCTGCACTTATCCGGCGGTGTCTGTCTCTCTGGCTACGGAGGCTTTTGAATTTCGCGCCCTTTGTGAGCGTCGGCGGCTGCGGCTTCAGCACCCGTGACTTCGCTCTAGTGACTACAGCTCAAAACCCGGAGGCTTTTGAATTACGCGCTCTTTGTGAGCATCGGCGGCTTCAGCTCTTCGGAATCGCACTACTGGTAGCCTCTGATCGCATCCCGCCCTCATCGCCAGTGTTATAGAGCGGTGGAGGAACGAGGCTGAACCAGAGTGCAATGTAACAGGCTTTATTACAATGAATAAAGGGTTGCCGCGTCTGCCTTCTCACTAGGCAGGCTAGCTGGCGGCAACGGGGCTGGCACTGCTCGGCAGCCGTCTTTTATAGCCGGCTGTCAAACGGTGCCAGCCAATGGGAGCGGCTGGTGCTCCCGCTCAAACAGCGGACCTGGTTGGGGACTCCAACCAGTTCCAAAGACATAACATTGTCTGGTTCACCCACTGACTGGTTATGTGTCATTAAACACCCACATAGAATTTCTTTGTCACTGTTTTTACCATAGTTGGGGTAATTGTTTTTATACTTTGCATTTAATAAGACTTATGCTGACATTGTAATTATAATTTCTCTCCTTCTGGTTTATTTCTGTTTCAGGTGAAATCCAGTGTAGGAATGAACATCACAAGTGCTATCATGGCATTATGTGGTATCATCCTGTATATGTGCGAGCTGATAATCTACAGTCCTCTTACCAGACATCAGTATATCAGTCAGTATACCAATGACCAATCTGTAAGTAAACCAATCTTGTCTGACATTTTGACTTCATGTGCAGAATCCAGAAGGAGATTATATATGCAGCCGGGATATTTGACATTTGTTTGAAAAATTTTCCTTGAATAAGTCTCAGTCCCAAAGAAATGTGTTCTATTTCATTTGAATTTTTAAAATATACATATATTTTTAAATAAGGGCAAGCAACCTTCTGGTCATCAAGGTACAAAGTGCTTAGGGCTTTGTAGATTTCATTTTCTCCAGTTTTTTCTTTTTGGTGGGAGGCGGACATATTTTTTTTTAAAAAATGGTAAATATGTTTTACACATTTTTGACTATGTCGCTGTACAGTGTACACATTTGGTTGCTTTACAGTAAGGCTTAGGTACTGAAAAACAAAGGAGTGCTTGAGAATTTTATATAGCATAGAATACAGCTGTACATGTTGAAATCTATCCCGGATTTTCCTGCCACCCCTACATCCTCATCCCTTCTTTACATTTGCCACCCAGTTTTAGAAAACTGAAATTTAGGTAAGTTCTGAACTCTGGACAGTTTAGAATCACACCAATACCTGGGATTAATGGCTTGATATTTTAGTATTTTGTATCCTTTGTTTTCTTATTAGGGTTAAATCATAGTAGTATCACATCTAAGGTTTTTCTCCTTTGCAGCTTGTATCCTTATTGATGAGGGGAAACTATATATCTTAGACTGGCTGAATCTAAATCACGTTGCTGCCCTTAACCACACTCTGTTGATGCCAATTTTCCCATTTCCTTTACCTTATTCTCAGCCCATGAGTAAGATTTACACCTGATGTGAGTAAATCACCATTAGTTGTATTAGTGTAAAAGTAGTCTTTTCCCCTCCTCTTATTCTGAGCCCATCCAACAACAGCCTCAAGGCGTATAAAATCTATTTCCCTTACCCCATTATCTTGGAGGAAAAGTCAGGTGACCAAGAGTGGATATGTTAGGACAGTGGGGAAGCCTGTCAATTTTCCACTTTGGACTAGCCAGCCTCTGTCTTAACCGTTTCTCTTTCTCATTCTCCCTTCAGCACTTTGTTTCTTGAGGTTCCCTATCCATCCACTCTCTCCATCATCCCAAAGGTGCTTTTTCTTGTTTTCCTGTGGAGACATTTCATTTCTCATCCAAGGAGCTTCTTCAGCTCTTACTAGATGGTGGCCTCAACAGCTCTCTGAAAGGATGCAAATGACCAGCTGTCTGCAAGGATTATAAATTCTTCCATTTCCCCACCATCCAGTCAGAGCTGAAGAAGCTTCTTGAATGTGAAGTGAAATGTCTCCATAGGAAAAAAAAAGTCCAGTTGCCTCTTGAAAAAGCACCTTTGGGACAACCATGATGTAATGACCCAGGGCATGGCACAAAAATAACAAAGTCACAAAAGTAGATACATCCCCCTTAATACCTCTAACTTGGCTCCCAATGTCCAGTTATCCTTGGCTGGAGATCAAACTCTTCCCAAAACAGTCTACAAAGGGAAGAAATGCAGTCCAAACCCAAAGTACAGATAAATTAGAAATAAAAAACCAACACAACCCACGCTGAAGTAATTAGCACAACAGGCCAGGATAATAAATTGCAGACTTCCAAAAGATAACAAAGCACAAACAGTTGGGAGGATGCCAAAACCCAGATAAGCCTTGACAGAGATAATGCATGGTTTGCTTCCAGCAAGGTGCCGTGTGCAAACACCCTTCTTATATCCTGTTCTCCCATCTGCAACTAATGAAAGGGATCAGGGGCCTTTTCTCTCCCGTAAGCCGCGTTGCTCCCTTCTCCGTTCCTCCTTGCATGCCCTAGGATGAAGAGAGGGTGGCCCTGGTCTTCCTCTGAATGCCCAGCCAGACTGTACCCATCCTCCGCTTCTTCCACAGCCACCAGAGCCACATTCCCACTCCCTGTCAGCTGCTCAATCTCCCCCTCAGAATCAGACTCCGACAAGGGCATGACACATGACCTGGATGACTGAGAATTACTTCTCTCCAGGCAACAGGAAAACTGACCCTCTAAATTTCCTATTGGGAAATGGAGGGGAAGCAAATTACATCTATTTACTTTGACAGTGAGATAGGCAGCTTCTACATTTGATAAATAAGCAGAATAAATCTCTTTACAATACTGTTTAATCTCTTTGCCCAGAGAAGATGGCTCCTGCTAGTCTGTTTCAGATCTTCTGTCTTGCAGGAAACCTCTACTTGTGGAAGAAGTTGTTTTCCCCTTCTCAGAAGATTAGTAGTGCTTGTGCTATCAATACCCAATGTCTTTTCATATGTATCTTTATTTTACCTTAAATTTAACTTGGGAGATGCCCAAACTGAGAGTGGAAGGAAGGTGCAGCAGACACGCCATTTCTGTTGTAATACCCTGAGTGAGTGATGGTTTCCTTACTGATTGATGATATGCTGAAAATGATTGGCAGCTAAGTCAGAGGAGAAAACCAGTCTGTAACAGGTGGGATTTGTAGAAGCCAGGAAAGGGCAATAGCATTCAAGAGTAAATCAGAACAGGTGCAACAATGGGCAGTAAAGGGGCTGGCCATAGAGACTAGGCATTTGATGCCTTCATTATTTATGGTGTTAACACGAAAATAAATTACACACGCCAGTTTATTAGATTCAGGAGATTCTACACATTGAAACTGTTGTGTTTTCGGATGACGCAGGAGGCAGACACGGAGCTGAAGGCTAACATCACTTTATTGAAGCA